AAGGAGAAAAGTACTCGGAAAGTACTCGGCCAAGTACTTTTGTCCTTAAAAGTTAATTTTAATCAAAGAGTGATGGTCTGAAGTCATTTTGTTGCTTTGTAATCTTACCTTTATGCATGTACCGTGAAATGCCAATGTACTTCAGCTTTGTTCCCTCCTAACTAGTTAAATATTTGGTAGAGAATTTGGTTCTCAAAAAGTACTCGACTACATCACTGCCATGCAGGAGAGTAGTGTAACTTGGCTAGATGCATGTGCACCTCACGTCAAGCACACACAGGTGATTGGATTGTCACTGTGATTTTAGGCATCTCCTTGGATAAGTCTAGAAGTGTGGATTTATTGTGAAAACATGGCCACAGCGCTGAGGCTTTGTTTTCCAGGGAAATCATGGAAAAAAACAATAAAACATGCAATGTACATATTGCATAGTAGTGCATTAGTAGTGGTAGTGTACCGTAGTACCTTAAAAACTGCATATCTTTCCTCAGTACGGACCACGCAGCAGGTGCATTATACAAAAATTATGTGTGGGTCAAGTAGCACCGACTTCCCACACACAGCAGGAAACTAACTGTATGTTTATTACAGGAAATCCAAAGACTTGTTATTTCCTGTATTCACATTTCATTGTCTATTCATTTTATTATTTTTACATTTCATTTTATTCATTCGTTTAACCGTTTCCTTTTCAGTTTTTCATTTTCCTGCCTCATCCATATTGATCACAGAGCATTACCTTTGCTGACCATTTGTCAATTCAAACCTATTTTCATCTGGACTGGGATAGCAATGACCATTTGATTTGGTCTGATCTCGAAGTTTGCAGTCAAAATAAAAGGAAGAGAAGAAGCCCCAAATTGCATTTCAATAGGCCAGGATCTTCAACCAAAAACACAATACTCAAAAGAACTGGTAAGTTATCTTTGTGTGACCTAACAGCATCTATTTGGTCATTTTGCAGTCCAAAACATTAATGGGCTGTATTCAAAGACAAGCACCGTCTTACCTGTTGTTGGTGGTTCATTAATGCCTCCAAATACTTGATAATAACTGAGCGGAAGTCTCGCACACGATTCATCTGTCAAGACAAGAGCCACTTTCAAGTGTCAGGCCTTAACATGGGCACTGAATCACAGGGAATGTTTGCTCCACATGGATCCTGACCTCAATTAGAGATCCGGCATTGGTTCACTGGCACCAGAACCTACCAATTATGGATGGCGCTAACCAGCGTTGGGTTCACTAATCCAGATCTAGATCCATGCGAAACAAACAGGCCCTTTGAGTCTTTCCTATCATTGCATCAACCTTAAAACTCCCACAGATTCTTCCAACCCACCAGGGGATTGCAATTGACTGTGCAGGATTGAGGGAGCTGAAGTCCACCTACTACTTTTTTACATCAGGCTTGATAACCCTTGAAAGGTTTCAGTACAAGGAATGTGCCATACAGATACGTTTCCAGCAAAGTGGAGGATTTGGAGGATTCTGGGAGATTTCTACCAAGAGTTACATTTGCACCGAGCTCGGGCTGACTAGAGATTTGATAGGTTACAACAAACCTGGTAACTGGCTAGCTTCAGCAGCCAATTTCACGAAACTTAACTTCAGCCAGCGATTTCACTAAACTTTACACAGTGACATAACCTCACACCACATTTTATTGCATAAGTTGCACTACAAATTAAGAGCGCTTTCACAAAACTTAAGTAAGGCGTAAGTCTGTGACTCGTGCAACAAATTATGGCGTAACTTATGCAATAATTTTAGGTGGCGCAAGTAGCGCCAAACAGAGCGAAAATTAACAATATGACTTGCTGTGCATGTTCGGTTGAGCAACAAAGTTTGAACGACAAACGTACAATTTTGTTGTAGAAGGTAATGAAAAACTTGTTTGGTTGTGAAAAAACTGCGAGATTTTCTGTCCGGTTCTGACGAAGAAAAGACAAAAACTTTTTCAACATGGCAGGTGGATGTGATTCAATGACTGTTTGATGACTTGTGATATTGGAAAGTAACAGCCATCATAGAAGCCATTACAGTCCTCCAAGAAATTACTACCTGTATTAAGAAATAATGCAGGTACGTACATTTTTGCAAAATCAAAGGTAAGCACACTGCACAGCTATGGCAGAAATTTGCGGTGCAAGGTTTACACGGCATTCAAAGTTATGCCACATTTCTAGAAGTCGCCTGCTGAAGTTGTAGTTCCAGCGAAAAGTGGACCCAGACAGCAAGATATTGATCATAAGGAGTTGCAACAAAGTTTCAGATGTTCAGTGATTCTAACCGTATTATTTCCAACTTGCCGGTGCATTCCAACTGAGGCTCACCAATAATGTAATAATTGTTTCATGATGGATGTTGCCTAACAACTCCTGGGCTACCACAGACACTTAACCGTTTTGCGCTGGGCCCATTTATCCATGTTGATTCTGCTGGGCCGGGTAGTTTTCTATTTTTTTCTGTTTTCAAAATTCTTTAAAAATTCATAACTTAATTTAAATACTGGACTTTTACACCCACACGAATGACTCTCTGGTGCTACTCTGATCTGACAGACAACATCTATTGATGCAGGAGTATTTCAGCCACGCCTACAGCCTTGGAAAAAGAGCCCAGATTGTGCGGTGTTATGTACGTTTCTTTTGTTCCTGTGTACTGCTGGCGTCTTGTCAATTGGGGCCAGATTAGCTTGCAGCGGTATTGTATCGCTCATCACTGAAGCGCTTTTGTCCCCGGTGGTAATTCGCTCGCGCTGAATGCCACAAACAGAGGTATAATCTTTCAAAACAAGGACGGATTTCCTTCGCTATAGACAACTGAAAAAATGTTGGCAATTCCCAGAAGCTCAGTCTTTTGTTCCAAGTACGATCTTTTGTTACAAGGCAAAACTCTTTGTCCGGCTTCAGGCTCCCTGGCTTCGTGTATAATGACTATGCCCTCAAACCCGGATGCACAAAAAGGTTAAACAGTCCGAGGGGCAAACTTTTCTGGCTCATTATTCTTGTGAAACATTCTACCTCTCTTCTCCCTCTTGGGTGCGTGAGTGCATTGAAAAGTGCACCTTTTGGGAACATTTCAAATCATCCATTGTTTTTAAGGCCATTACTACCGTGATGTCAAGCAGGGAAGATGTAGTCAGTTTACAAGCTTTCCCAATGAAATATTGCTGAGAAAGGATTACTTATCGGTTTACTGCTACGCACTTAAACAACAATCACCAAAAAAAAGGAAATTTAGGTCAGCAAAATAGGAAAAATGCCAGCTTTGAGGCTTTGTTTTTTGGGTGCACAAATAAATGTACTATTGTGATATTCCCCTTGGGATGACATCACAACTTGTTGAAAGAAATATGGATTATGGCCTAAAAATCCAAAAAAGCACCAGTCCATCCTTAAAAATAGCACAACAGAAACTGATAAAAAGATTACTGGAGACAGACAGGTGCATTTCAGGGGTTGTATTAAAACCCTGCATAGCTTAAACCCTTCAACAAAACTAATATCAATCTGTGACAGTTTTGTTTCAACCCTGCTGTCACATTTTTGCTGACATCTTTCCTAATTATCCCAAATCCATCACTGTTCATTGTGCTTGAGCAAACTGAGGGTACACAAATCGTCTTGGAGATGTTTGATTACTGTCTGAAATCCAGTCATCATGTGACAAACTCACCTCAAATCGGCCGTATTCTTTGCGGATGGTCTTGGAGATTTTTTCAAAGTCCTTCTGACCTTTGGCCTCTTTGTCCTCCCACTGCGAGACAATCAAAGCAAACCAGAGATCAATTAAAGTGTTTAAATGCAACACAGCCACCTTTGCAAGCAGGAAACCTTGCTAAACTGCACTGGAGTTATACCAAACATTATGCACTACTGTAAAGGCATCTGTTGATACATAAAATTTTGAAATAGACAGTTAGTAGTTCAACAAACCAAAGGATTACAGAGAACATTAAACACTTAAAGACGCTTCCTTTTTTGCAGAACTGGACATTTTCTATTTGAAGATAAGAAATGATGGATGCGGTAGTTCCCTCCTCACCTTTCACATTTATGGCTCGGGTTCGAATCCCTACTCTGGTTGCAAGTTAATTATACTCTCCAAATTCACACCTCTTTTTGTTATTTCCCTGTCTATTAATCCATCTGTTAACCTACATTCATAAATACCTCAGACCGTCTCCCTATTCAACAACGTGCAACTTGACTGTTTATTAACATTTGATAATGACCACTGAGAAGTGCTAATGCCTGCTGCGTTAATCACGCCCTGGAACCTGGATACCAGAGAGTTTAATCGATTCTGATTGGTTAAGAGTTTGTGTGCACGTGGCTCGCCATGCACGTACCAAGTCCATATATGAGGAGGTTGTATTGGACAACTTGCAAAAGGAATATACTCTAAAATGGACGGGGGTGTTAAGGAAAATGAAAGGAAAATTCCAGAACAAAATCGTTGGAAATCCATCATATATTGACTTCTTTTGACTCGCTGACTAAAAATGGGAATAAATATGTGAGACTTAACGCTGATAACAGTGGCTCGGACATTAGTCGCATCCATTCTCCTGAGCCAGGCTTAAACACACCTTTAAGACCAGCCAAGCACACATATATTCCTTTATTTAATATTTAATTAACCTTAACCTTAACTCCATAGAGTGATTTACTTGAACCTTCCTCATCTTTGCAAATCCCAACACCATATAGTAAACTGTGCACATATACGGTTGGACTCAATTTGTGGTCTGCCTAATCCCACATGATACACAGCCAGTTTACCAGTGCAGTATTCATCCTAACAGATGCCAACTAACCTTGGTGTTGGGACTTTGGCTGGTTGGAGATCGTTAGGATTAATCCATAATTTTGTTATTGGCGGTTAAATATTATCTATTTCCTTCACTTAAATATCTCTGTATTGTATTCCAATTTGTAATGGCTGGAAAGTTCATACTAAATTGGATTGTGCTGGATTGGGTTTCATGCCCAACCTGACTCTGTCAGTTTTCAAACAAAACATTCTCCTGGGGTTTTCCTTCCACGTCTGAAACTGGCATTTCTTCTTTCTATAGATTGCTCGGTGCTTGTGAGCTACAGTGCTGAGGACGCCTATGAGTAATCCTTGGTTACATCACCGAATCTAGTTAATGACAATATGAAGCAAGTTCCCTTCTTACGTCTTTGATTTCTTCCTGGCATTGAGCTAGCTTGTCGGGCTTGCCGCTGACCTTCAGTTTAGCCTCCTGCTCTCTCTTCTTGGCCAACGTGGCCTGCGCTGACTGCCACAGGCCAAATTTCTTCTCTCGTTCGCGGAATGCCTCCTATTGGCATAGCAACAAGTCATCAAAGCCATCTTTCATTCGCTAGATGATAAAATCATCACTCGGAACAACATTTCACCACACGTTTTCACTATCAGGCCTCTGTAAAAGTGATTTCTGCCCTTTTTAGGTTCCAATGGATTACACAGTAATACTCATGCAGGATTCTACAACACGTTATTTCTTTCGTGCACCAAATATACCCATCTCCAGTTTACTTAGAACAATTCTTAAGCCATGTATGTCAATGGCAATTAATAGAATTTTTTTCCTATTATGTTGTCATTCAAAGCTATTCATCCTAGAACAAATCGTCGAAGAGAAGCAAATTGATCAGTTATTTTGATATCTAGATTTCTGTGGTGAGATGGTTATCATTTTGGTCAAATCCAAACAACTCCGAAAGTCCCTACCTATTGTGGGGAAGTACACAAAAAGTGATCCAATGTGGACAAAATGCACATAACAGTGCAGAATTAGAAAAACCTACTTGTTCTGCTATGGTTGATAAACTTTTCAAAGGCATGAAAAGCATTTGGTAAGCTCCATTTGCATTTATGATTGTGGAGAAAAACTTCAGAGAAACACAGAGGCAGAAAAGATCAGATGTGAGGCAAGTTTTGTAAACTGATCTTCCTTGCTTTTTTTTTAAAGAGCTTCTGAGATGAGAAATGTTTCTTTGGTTTCTACACTTGGGGGAAAAAATGCAGCAACTTTGGACAGCCACAGCCTTACCCTGACAGCACCTATAAGTCCAATGTAATCTTTCAGCAACTCCGACAAGACGTAGAAGTCCGTGTTGGCCTGCTCCACGTGAATCTGGTCGATCTTCTCCTCAGTTTCGGCAAGTTGTGATAGGGCCCTCGAGAGGGCGGTGTGCTCCTCCGAGTTGCCCAACATGGCTGCACTCTTGGCAAAGATGGCTGTAGCACCTCCAAGATCTTTCCAGACACCAAAAGGAAATATTTCTTGGATAGTAATCGACAAACTCTTAGATGGAATACAATGGAAACTACAGAAACATGCATTCCATTTAACAAAAATCAGAGGTGTGAGTGGTCACTTAAAATTAAAGCTAACAGCTAGCAAAAAGCTGAGATGTAAAAAGTTCCCATACATTAGTAAAAACCAGGTGTATAAAAAGGCTGAACTATAGGGTCAACATATAAACAAAAGCTGACAACAGCTAAAAAGCTGAATGCTCATACCCCTGAAAAATGTCCTCTTTCATTTAGGTTGAAGCATAATAACAAATGTACTAAATGACATCCAAATTAAAATGTAACTTTTACAAAGGCCAAGTTTGACTGGCCTTACTATTCATTGCCGTTTTGACAAACTGAAAATGCAAGCACTGGGTGCAGACACTGTGCGAAAACTGTAAAATAAACAATGTTGGTTTGAATGGTTTCATGAACTGACATCTGGCTGTGCGTATGCACTGCTCACACTGATGAATTGAGGAATCATTTTGCTTTCATGATCTGACACACAAGTGCACAGCAGATATACAATTTACCTTTTAGAGGAAAATGCTTTCAAGTGTTTTATGTGAATTTAATCCATCCATTTACTCGTGGGGTTAAGGAAAATTACACCTTCGGACCTTTCAACTTGGGTATTCTTAGAAAGAAATCACCTTTGCGAAAACACAAATGCAGTGAAGGCACACACCAAGTGCTTAGTACAGTTAGCGAAAACCAAAATTATGCGTTTCAATAAAATTGGTGTGGAAGGCACACGCTGAAGTGCCAACCAGTGTAAATGCATGGTGCGAGTGAAGTACCCTTTCTGATCACTAAAAAAAAAGGGTTACACTGACTTTTAGTACTGTTTGCGTACTAATATCACACCAGTTGATCCCAAGCTCTTTGGTATGAAATGAAACTTCACTCTCCGTAATATCCAGAAATGTGGCCTAAAGGTCAAACGTGAATCTTTGCTTTGAAAAAATGCTCAACAGCGTACTGCTGTGATGACACAAGACCGGTTCTCAGTCTCAAAAACAATGTCATGACAATTGTACATTATAGTACATTTCAGGTGCCGTTTGATTGTATCTTTTGGGAACTATTTCTGCTCATTTGGCAAACACAATAAACCCTCCGACATGCTTGTCAAAAACCTCCAAATCAGAAATTATCATGGGTTGTCCTAATGACCTGGGCCATTTTCCAATACTCAAGTTTGTCTCAATCTCAAGCTTCATCCCCGAAACCAATCCCCGATTGTGGGCCTGAGGTGTTTAAATAAAATTGGATTTCTGTAATTTTTGGAACTCTTGCATCATATTTGATGTTTTGTGGCACTATTAGACTAATTATTGCGCTTCAAAGTCAGGTTGTAAAAAAACAGCTGAAGCCTGAAACGGAGCCGAAGTTGAGTATTGGAAAACGGCCATGACTTGGTGCCGCTAATGATTGAAAAGTAGTCAACTTACCTCTCCTGTGTCCAACCATGCTCTCCACACTGATGTGAAGCTTCTTCAGCTGTAAATCCAAATTGTCAATCTGCTGATGTTTCTCCTCAAACCACTAATAAACAAACCACAAATATAAGCAACCTTATGTTCTCCCTTCGGGGTCATTTCATAATCTTAACACTGTGGCATACTTTCTCTTCAAACCTTGCTGTCCTCACACCCAGTGGGCCGACATTTTCTCCATGGCTACAATGTTTAACAATCTTCTTCTACCTCACCATGCAAGTTAAGAAAGCAGTTTCTTGTGCTTTCAACTTTAACTGAAACTAGACTGAAATCTTACCCGTTTTGTAAAAAGCAAAAACAGCCATTCCTTATTTGGAACGGTTTTTCCAATTGTCAACCATTTTTCCCATGAAAAGCTACAAAATCAGTCTGTTTGTAGGAACAGCAGCGAATCGTTCTTGCGACCCACCGAGGGATTTGGTCAAGTTTGGTAACACGGACCTGATCAGACTCGTGTAACTTTGACGTCATCTTCTTAGCCGAGTCCACAATGCCAGAGAAGGCCCGCTTCACGGCCGCCCCACTCATGGCCGAGGTACTGGTTGCCTTGGGAAGCTGGGCAGGGAAAACGAGAAAGAAATCCATGAATCGCACTCACCAGTCATCACTAGCTGTGTACTCGATGCGGATATCTCCTGTAGGAGGCACGTTACTTCACAGGACTGTAAAGTTTTCATTTTCTCTGATGTTGTCGCAAACCTTTAGGAGTTCTCCAAGTGATGTATTTTGACACAACATTTTACACCAATTTTACAAAAACTGGACATACCATTCTCACGAAATGCCTCTTTTTTAAAGACAGACTCGCCCAACGTGTTAACTATCCCATTGACATGTTCTCAAGCACAGGCCGACAAGCATGAAAGCATGACATATGAATAATCATAAAAAGATGACCACAAGAAGATTCCATTGAAACTCTACACAGAGAAAACTGTAAAGGTTGTGATGACAGATGAGTTAAGGGTCAAACATACTCGTCTTCAGACAGCAAAGACTCCCTTCCACAAAATAAGACGTTTGAAAAAATGGACCCTTTAACCCTAACTGCCAAGCATATTGTTTGGCTTACGCTACACATTACAACAAAATACTAAGTAATGGTCTGAGCCTGAAGGACCTAACACTAAAAGATTACTACTTCTGGCTAGGTTACTTCCATTGTTACTCGTACAGAGAACAATAAAGCCATGCATTCATAGTGCCACAGCACTGTATGGTACATTGTCTTTTCTATTGTATCTTATGGCTTCAGAGAACAATAAAGTCATGTCCTCTTACAAGCGACAGCACTCAGTACTACATTTTACTACAAGTAGTAATTTGTAGTATAATGTAGGGTTAGGGTTAAGGATTAAGTCCTTTCCCAAGCTTTGCTGTCAGAATTAAATTTTACGTAACTCTGCAAGATATGCTAACTGTCCTGGAAAGAAATGACTCCATATAGAATAAGCTAAGGGTGCATGGAAAGCTGAAGTCACGTTGGCACCTGCTAGAATTTGGTAACCCATAACAGGAAATCGTATTCTTGAGGCACTTCTAGAGCTTTCATCGCACTGTACCTCATCTTTCTCCAGGAACTCGATGAAGCTTGGGTCTTTTTGGAGCTGGGGATGGGCAGCCGTCCGGTTGAGGTATCGCTCCATGGCTGCTCGGCGCTTCTCCACAAAGTCCATGGAGTTGGGCTCCTCCTGACCTTTGGACATCTTCACCTTGGTCATTCCTTCAAGCACAGAGTAAACAGACCAGTCATAATTTTCATAAAATTCACGGCCAGTCTCACCTCGCCCATTATCCCAGGAGGTTGAACTACAAGTTGGTTTGGAACACAAGTGCAGTGACGTTACAGTTACCTGATCAGACAATATGCTGATGAATTACCTGACACATTCAAGTTATGATCAGGTATTTTCCAAAGCATCAGCATCATTAACCCAACCCCCTCAGCACTTCTTCTTGAAGGTTGACTAATCCTGTCAAATTCCAACACCCTGTGGCTGCTGGGTGGGAGGTATGTACTCAACCCCCCCCGGATTCCAACAGTCCACTTGCTGTGTCGGTACTCAGCCCATGAGCCCAACAAACTCCAACAAGCGGTAAATTGTTGAGTTTTGGCTGGGTGGAGATACTTGGTCATATACTATGTATAAGGAATGGGGACACTATGTAGAACTCATCCCTTCAAGATCCAACGACTGCAGGGCTATACAAATTTTTTTTGGGGGGGGGCTCAGATTTCTTTGCTTTTATCTTTGACTTCTCTTAAAAAGCAAGGTCACCGAACACAACTGGAGCAATTTATTCTACTCCTTAAGTATAAGGACATGACCAAATGACCACCACTGTTTATAGGCACATACATGCCAGCAGCATTATTCATCAAAACATCCTGCAGCAACTACTGGGAAATACCAACCGTACCCACTCAGTCAAAACCCAACACTGTTACTGCATCTGTACACTATTCATCCCGACATAACCCAACACTTCATATAGTAAAGTTTCATATGTTCACAGAACTCAACCCATCAAATTTCTACAAACTCTGTTGTTGTAAATTGATCGGATGGGGAACGTTAGGGTTAAAACTTAAGCAACAAAGCTAAATATAAGGTGTTATCATTTGGTCTGGACATGAAAGGTCTGAAAGTTGTTCCACAATAAGAAATGAAGTAAAAGCCAATGAGTGAAGAAATCCTTTGATAAATTTTACAGATTCAATGAAGATCGACATGGCAAACCCCGCTTATGTTAACTGTTCACAGCTCTAAAGCTCTCCTTTCCAAAAGAGGGTGTGACGTCCCCACCCCCACTTCCCCCGTGCCCCACCCCTGACTCCTAACCCCACCATCTACCTACCTACTACACTCTTCTCCGGTGCTGGTGGTACAATGAAGCCCTTCACCGTATGGTTGTCCACAAGTTTTTGATGCAAGCCCAGAAAGTCACTGAACCGCCGGAACACCGTCGTCTCAGGTTTCTTGAAGGCTGGGTTGCTTGTCTGAAAAATCAGGGCGAGAGAAATTTTAGCTGAGTTGGGAGGAACACAGAGGCACTCTATCAAAATGTTTTTTCTGGACGAGGGAGTCAAACTGTTAGAAATTAAAGACAGAGAAAAGATAAACCAACATTACACATGGTGGCTTGGTGATCTGTGAGAATTTGGAAAATTAGTGAAGTTTTAATTAGAGTCTAACAAGTCTTGTCAGCTGGACAGAACAAAAAAAGCTGAGGAACATATTTTGAAACTGGTGAGGTTCTTGGCAGTGAACTAACGAGATTCCTGAATATTAAATACTGATTATACACCTTCATTTCCAACCCTCCTGGTGGATTTTGAAGGATCAGACAAAGTGAAGTTCAATAAGCTTATTGAACTTCACTTTGTGAACTTCACTTTTCATCCGGCATGAAAAGTTTACATTAATCAACTGTAGACATACATGTACCTTGGTAGACACTTTGTACGCCATGTAGGCACTCATTCCTTCCCCTGGACAACAAAAATACATTCAATTAGTCAATTCTTAGCATTGTGATGTCTTAGCAACTGAAACTCTATCTGAATTTAAATATCACTGTCGTCTTCCTAAACGAGTACTCACTTGTCAATGACACTGACTGGGTTGACGCATCAATGCACCATTAGTGTACCCTGTGCCTTCTCAATGACCTCACGGTTTTGTACCCATTCTGATGAAAATCTGTGATACTTACTCTGTGACAACTACAGACCACCCAGTCCAGATATTGTGTGTGACCCAACAAGACCCCACAGCTTGTTAAATGTAGACCCTGACCCCATCTTGTTGAAGCAAACCGTTAACATCTCTAGCACCACATCGTACCGAAATCTCTCCACAGATTTTACAATGTTGACGATTTTACATCATGGCTACCTTTTTTGATGGGCTCTGTAATCATGATCTCCATGTCAAAGGTATCAGTCTCTTCCTCCTCTTCTTCTTCTACCTCTGCTTCCTTTTTCTCATTCACCTCGTCCTGCTCGTCCTTCACGGAAACAAGAAAAAGCAAAAGTAAATCTTGGCAGGTTAACAAAATGCTACACAGATCACATCTAACAAACACTGGCATTTAAGAAAGAATTTGTTCAGTCTTACACATTAACCACTTCCTGCCGGGGACTCCGAGATCGGAGACGTATGATTTATATCCGTGGCCGGGGTCTCCGAACTCGGACAAAGGAAACAGGGCCCTGTAACAAAAGACCGTACTCCGAACAAAAGACCAGGCTGCTGGGCATTACTGGAATTTTTCACTCTCAAAAGTGGTGATAATCCAGCCTTGTTTTGAAACCCTATACCAGGGTTTGGGGCATTGAGAGTGAGTGGATTACCACCGGGGACAAAAGCGCTCCACCACCGCAGCAATGAGCCAC